TAAAATCAAATGATCACCATTATGTATGTACTATAACTGATAGAAAAACCAAAGTTTTCTTATATATGTATGGTCGAGACAATATTAATGGGATATTCTACCTAATTGAGCACTTCCAGTTGATAATCGTCTACTGATATTTAGTTATTTTCGAAAATGCTTAGATTTACAATTACCATTATACCAACAAAGTAGGGCTTCTCATACAGATTTGCTGATCCTTTTTTGAAGGAAAACATCACAACTTCGTTCAAGAATTGTTTTCTAAGTATATTTTTAATTTGAAGTTATGCATAAGATATTTTTATATATAAATTTTAGGTCTATGCGCATACTTAAGAAAATACTTTCCTCAACATTTCTTGTATTTAAAAGACGATCCTGAATCAAAGCGTTTCGTTTTCAACTAGAAAAATCTCAAGTCATCATAAGGAGAATCTTCAAAAAGAGAAATATATTTTCTGATAGAGTATTACAATGTTTCACATTCAAAATTGACTTTGATTTTACTCATGTTAGGAAAATATTATCAACTTTTTATTTAATCATTGTTTAAAACAATAATAGAATACATTTAGTTCGTATTCACACTAATTCTATTCAATGGGATAAATTCAATGAAAATAGCATTTTTTACTATTTTCTGGCAGCTGCTAATCGAATTTATAATTGACTGGAAGATGAGATTTATTGGAATAAGACATCTCTTTTGCGTTTGTTTGTTCGATGGGACTTCATTGACTTGATTGATTATTTTTTTTGTATTTTGTTTTCTTTATACAATTAACGCTTGTCATTCTAACTCATTTAATCTTCAACAGAATGTTCAACTATTTCTATATAGTATACTATCTATCAAACTTAATCGAAGCTAATATCATATACATGCATCAGGTGTGACTGGTGTGCGTATTAGTTTCTGTGTAGTTCGTCTTCTCAACTATTCAATTACTTCAGTTCATACTTATCTACAGACTCATATATCGTAGCCACCATCCTAAACTCAGATTTATCACACTTGCATGCATATTCAGGACCCTTCTTTGGAATTATTCAGACTATCAAACAACGGGAGCGCATAAGAACCTGAATCGATCCACTGGACGTTTTTTCATTGAACACCACTGAATTATGCATGCATGGAATGAAAGACAAAGTTTTACCTAATATTTTCATATTATACTCGAGGAATCATAATGATTTTTCCTTAAGCCCATTATGATACGCATATCGACTTAAGTATAGTAACCTAGATGAACAATTTGCCAAAGACAACTTTCTTGTTCCAACTTCGCTAATGCTTCAGTAGATAGAGCATGAAAACAGCTACAAACTGATATAATACTCGAAGACTAAAAAGCATAGCTACATGAATTCTGTAAGGACATTATGTTCAGTGGTCTGCTCTGGTTTTCATAAATAGTAGCCTTTTCATCTAAACTTGTCAAGAAAAACTTTCTTGCTTCAACCTCGATAATGCCTCAGCAGATAGAATGTGGAAAATTCTACAGAATTATATGACTTTTAAAACTTAAAAACGATGACCACTAGAACATGATAAGTACACTATGTTCAAGACGATATCCGGGTTTCATGAATACGGATCTGGTAAATCCATAGAAATCAAGAGACATTCAGAGGTGTCAGTTTCGTGAAGTTTAGTGCAGAATGCCTAACAGTGTTTGTCGAACGATATGATTCATGAGATTTAGAAAAAGTTCGCAAGTGTCCATCTGGTAGATGTAATGTACGAAGGTAATATGATGCACAACACATAATGACAGCAGGTTAGATACAGAAAAGTACTATGAAATTAAATTTAAGTATGAGATGAATATCTTAGATACATATATGACTGGTAACATTCATGAAAGTGTCGGAACAAAATGCAGAAGGGCTTAGATGAGGAAAATCATCTGTTCGTTGGTTTTTCCAATGGGACTATCGATTGCTGTGATGATTATGACTTTGAGTCCTACATTCGGTCCAACTTTCATTGTCGTGATTAGTTTCGGCTTTTTGGAGTCAGTTAAGCTCTCCTGTCCATTATAATTGATATGAATACTAATGTCGAAGGTTTTGACGTATCTCAGGTGAAAGAATCCCACAATCAGGTATTGAAAACTTTATTAGTTAACTCTAGTGAACATTAGCTTTCCTCTAGCAGGTTTTACTACTAGTTTTGTACGAAACCACTAAAGCATGTTTCATGTGTGAAAAAGCATTGGGTCTAAAATAGTTATAGTAGTCATGAGTATTCTGCGATTTACATTAAATATTCTCAAACACACTCCACAGAACAGTCCTCAATATCATTGAGAATTCGTTAATAGAAATTAGTAGAAGTCTTGAACGTAGCCTAGGTCTTTCGTTGTTTATTTTCAAGAAGACGTCTTTTAAACTCCTTTCAAAGACAGAATGATAATCTATTATTGTGGTTACGAATTTTCTAAGTGCTACAAGCAAAGTCTTTTCCAGCCTTTTTTCTGTGCTCTCTCGGTGTATTACGATAAAGCTGCAAGCAGGATGAGCCACGTGGATTAAATACGGTCGCATTTTAATTATATGTTGTGAAGTAGCTTGAAGTTTTAATTTTGACCATCGGCTAACACATAATCATTGGAGCATTCAACATTTTTGCGAATTTCTCAACAAAAATGAATCTTAAATCTAGTTGTCACTTTTCAATGATATGCTGTGAAATTCAAAATGAGAATGTTCAAGGTAAATAATATTATGATAGTTAAATCATGGCTTTATAAGATGGAAAGTTGAACACTGTGATTGTGTATTGCCCGATTCTTTCGAGAGCGATAATCAGAAAACATAAAAAATATCTATTCTCTTGTTATTATAAGAAAAAATTTTCGAATGAAATCAACATTTATTTTTCAAATGAGATTAAAATCAAGAAATGTCAAAAGCGTCAGTTTTCATCAGAAATATAACCACCATGTTGTTCTACTGTACGAACGCAGAGATACTCAAATTTCAAGTAAAACTCAATTCGTATTCTCTTCTTCTGAGTTCTACTAATTCTCTTGAATTTTAAATATATATGATAATAGACGTTTGTATTAAGAATATTGCAGAATTATTAATCTAATAATTTCAAGTATTATGAGTTACCAACCTCTTAGCACTCTGGTGATAACGAACTAAAGTTCATTTTGAACAATCATCTGAATCTTTCAGAGCAAAAACACTGTTCCAACTAGTCTCAGGTATCCGTGTCAATGAGCAAACAATTGTTCCCATAAAAAACATTACTATACTATGCAAATAATCGGATGCCATTTCAATTTATCATCGTTGCAGAATGTTGATAGACTTCGCTATTACATGACGCACGGCTTTTAGTCCCATAAATCAATCATTCAACTACTGCAATACAACTTCTCCATCATCATTCTTTGTGGAAAATCTCTGAAAAGTCTCTTAAAGGCAGAAAAACAAATCATACCGTTTACTTATCCCGAAAATCTTCCAACAATACTACTCACCGAGATACTTAAGCGAGACCTTCTATATGGAACACTTGCCATCGAACTCTTACCAGTCTAAAAACGTCATCATTCTGTTGAATATTTGGAGCTTTGTCGCACCTGATCCATATTCATGAAACCCGTATGACGTCTCGAACATAATGTACTTATCACTTCCTAGTAGCCCTGTTTTAAGGTTTCAAAATCATGTGGATTCGTAACAGTTTTTACGCTCCATCTGATAAGGTATTATCAACGTCGAAACAAGAAGGTTTCTCCAGGTAATTATAGAGCAAAAGTTTAAAATTCATGCAAACGAGATAGTGTCTCCAACATAGGGTACTTATCATGTACGGATGCCTATGCATTTTAAGGTTTACAGATCATACCGTTTTGAAAAATTTTCACGCTCTATTTATTATTAAGGTATTATTGAGGTGAAAGCAACAAACTTTTACTTTACAGGAATAGAGAACAAGATTAGGAGTTATGAAAATCAGGTAGGATTAGAATATTAGTGTGCTTGTCATGTCCTAGTGGCCATGCTTTTTAAAGTTTCAAAATCATGTGGTTTAGCGTCAGTTTTCACGCTCTACACAGTAAAATATTAATAAAGTTGGAGCAAGAAACTTTCTCTTAACAAATATAGAGAAAAAGTTTACCATTTATGCAAACTAGGGTCGGCTCTTGAACATAGTGTACTTATCATGTTCTAGTGGTCAACGTTTTTAAGGTTTAAAAGTCATATGATTGTGTAGAATTTTCCACATTCTATCTGCTGAGGCATTATTGAGGTTGAAGCAAGAAAGTTTTTCTTGACAAGTTTAGATGAAAAGGCTACTATTTATGATAACCAGAGCAGGCTACTGAACATAATCTTCTTGCCGAATTCATGTAGCTATGCTTTTTAGTCTTCGAGTATTATATCAGTTTGTAGCTTTTTTCATGCTCTATCTACTGAGGCATTAGCAAAGTTGAAGCAAGAAAGTTGTCTTTGGCAAATTGTTCATCTAGGTTACTATACTTAAGTCGATATGCGTATCATAATGGGCTTAAGGAAAAATCATTATGATTCCTCGAGTATAATATGAAAATATTAGTTAAAACTTTGTCTTTCATNGTTTTTGTATGTATTCAAAAGATATATAATCGTACCAAAGCAAAAAGATTGATGTGCTCAAGTAGATATATTAAACTTTGTTTGGTTTTGACTGCTTTTGGAAAGTGAACATATCACTATAAATTTATAGTAAAACCCAACAGGAATGCGCTGGATATCATGCATGATCTCTCAAAATGCTAAGATATTTATAAAACTCCCACCGCATATTTATGTAATATCCAAACATTTTATTAGAAAGTCGTGGCCTTCTAATATGACTTTTGCAGATATGACTCAGGGTGGCCTTCTAATGGGGGTGGCCTTCTAATATGGGGTGACCTTCTATTCTGGGGGGAGTTTAGTAGGTAATTGATGACATAATAAGTGAATATTGTTTAAAAAGAAGTTCAACAATGTCATCTCCTGCTGAACAAATTTTAGCACGTACAAAAAATACATTTGTTGATTTAAATCCATATTTTCAATGTTCATCATTACCAAGGTAATAGAATAATAGATTTATTTTATAATATATTTAATTATCTTTTTTTATATAAGTCATTGGTGAAAAAATAAATCTCTTCATTTTATATTACGAACAACAAATGATATTGAAATAAAAGTCAATACACGTGTTGTTATTCTTGCTGGTAATGAATATAATCCATGTGTAACATTAAAAAATAATATCAGTTGCTTTCGTGGTGGTCAAGCTGAATTTAATGATTTACGATTTTTAGGTGCTAGTGGACGAGGTTTGCACATTATTTTAGTTTTTTATTTTATTTAAAGATTTTATTTATGTTAAGGTAAAAAATTTACATTAACTATTATTATTGAAACAAATCCACCACAACAATGTACTTATCGACGAGCTATTAAAATAACATTTGATGGACCAAGAAAAAAACGCGAAACGAGTGAGATTTATTTCTATTATTGTTAAATAATATTTTAAAATAAATTTAATTATTTTAAGAATCAAAGTCAGATGTGAATGATATTTAAGCGGATGAATCAAATCTTGATGGAGATTCGGATAATGATACACAAACAGATCAGAATTCAATGATAACTGAAATTAATAAACATTATTTATTTTTTAAATAATTATATATAGGATCATCGGGTTTACTTTTACTTGCTGCTGCAGCTGAACAAAAACGAAAAGATGAAGAAGATTATTTTATTTTATTTTATTTAAATTAATTAAATCTAATTTTATTTTTCTATTTAAAAAACAACAGATGAACCAATAAATAATAAAGTTGAAACATTAAATAGTCAAATGTCATATTCATCAAATTGTCTTAGTCTATCATCATCTCTTGCTTCACAATTTTCTCAATCAATTGTTTTTTCTCCAAGATCAGATGATATATCATCTCATATAACACGACACATCTATATATCTAATCAACCAACATTATTCAATTCTCCAACAACAAATATTATATTAAGTTTAACATCAAATCAAAATCTATTTGATTTTTATCATCATCAACAACCACGACATGATCAACAAACAATTGATGCAACATCAACACATAGTTCAACATTAAATACTCCAACAAGTACATATGTTTTATGTCGATAAATCAATTATTTACATAATATATCAATATATAATAGCTTCAAGCAATATTTAATAATAAAATATAACAGAAACAAAAAACCACGGGTGCATGCCTTTTAAATATGCCTATGGATATACCGATCCGATTCTTAGCCACACACCAATCAGATGATATATTTATTTTATCTCCTGACTGGAATAATTAACAAAAAAATTTTTTTTTTCTTTTTTCTTGTTTAATTATCTTCTTAGGCATTCCCTTTATTCTCATCCCGAACTAAGAGACAATTGATTGCGAAAACAGAATATTTAACAGTAGCTGGTTTACTGTTGACGCCGAGCGCTAAGTAAAATATTTCTTTACAATAATACTGTATATATAATGAGATGATGGTGGCAACCTAGTCTGTCAAATGTTAACATGTACGTATGTATAAAAATCGTTTGTTGTATGAGTAAGGTACATTAATATGTATATTAGTGTATTAAGTCAGATCGCGTTTAATTGTTTGTTCGGGCTCTCTTTTCATAAGAGAACATAGGAACACCAGGATTTGCCTGTGTTCAATAAAAGGTAAAAATTCGAAAGAAGAAATTCAATTATGGAAAATAAAATAAATTATAAAAAAAAATTATTGTATCTCATCTTTCGTGCAATACTGGTGATAAACCTATTTTCTCTTTATTGTTAATGTTTATATCTCGACTTGATATTCTATTCAATATAAACCCGGTGTGTTCTTATATATACGTAGATATCAGTTTTCTTTTTTATTTTGTTTTTATATTCGATGAGGTATGTACATAAAACGAAGGAGAAGTGTGTTCCATGATCGTTCAATCGTTGATACTGATACCCTTTTTTTTTGTTGTTGTATGTAAAACAAATAATCTATTCGATGCATTTTAAATAGATGAATTATTCGTTTCTTTTTTTTTTCTTTATTTTTTGTTTTAACAAACAGTCAAGGGTTTTAACCTCCTCCCTTCTCTTTATGTTTTATGATTTTTTGTTGGTTCTGCTCACAAATTGGGCGATTCGTTATCGATGTAGAATGGTGCATGTGAATCTCATCCGGTTTGTTTTTTTAACAATATCTGATGTGATGTTAGTGTGTTTTTGCCATATATGTTACGGATTAAATGTCCAAAAATGAATTTTGTTTTTTTTTTCTTACAATTAATTCCACAGCTAAGTTGTACTTGTACATATAACCTATTAGAAAAGAAAAAAGAAAAAATATTTTCTTTTCTATTACTAAATATGTATATTGTGTTAAGAAAAAGGCCTATATTAATCTATGAATATGTAAATAAATCAATTTTTTTTTATAAATTCTATTTTATTCTAATATGTATGGAATTAGTCTGTCGAAAGTAACTGTGTCTTAAAATAATGTGTGCAGTCGGTGTGGTTTTGCTTTCTTGTTTAATTTGTCATTTTGGTGAATGTGTTTTTTCTGTTTTTGTTCGTCGTTTGTTTATTCTTGTAAATTTCTCCTTTTAATTAAAGTTCGTCAGTGCAATCGAGAAAAAACTCAATAAAATTTAAAATATCTATTTTATTCATTTATTTTATTTTGATTATCGTTACTGATAATTGATTGATTCTCAATATGAATCATTATCGATTTATTGATAAGATTTACATTTAAATGTATGATATAAAAAGATAATTATTTAGTTCGTATTCGATTGATCTTTTATTTTCTGTGAAATCGTTGACATGTAATTAATAAAGCAGTTTGTTTATCTTACGTATGAAAGTTTGTAAGAAGATCAAAGCAACTTAACTTTTATTTATTATATTGAAAGTAAAGTTGTTTTAATATTCAAAATGAACTTTTTAGAAAGTTGCCAGAGTTTTTCAAAATCAGGTGAGACTGAGTAAGAGTTTGGTTTTTTGTCTTAAACAAACTTGTTAAGTATTAATTTGATGTATTGATCAACTGTTTCAAACTATTTCGATTGATTTGTTGATTGTAACGGTAAGATTGGAATATATCTATCTGCTTATTAATTAGAACAATCAAGAGATCTTGACTTATATTTAGGTTCATAAAAGTTTTTTGACAGGTTATTAAAATTGAATAAATTTGATATATTGACGCAAATAGAAGCTTTTATTCAAGGATATATTTCTCTGTTTTCATCTCGAGAACTTTTTTGAAATACCATTTAAATTAATTAAATGAATTATTTCGGTTGAAAGAGATGTTCTTTGACTTTTTCAAAAATGGCAACAAATTAACAGTTATTTGGCAATATAAACGAAGAATTGATATTTAGGATTCTAGATAATTGATCAGAGTGTGAATGTCAGCATGGGGTATGAGTTTAGTCAACAACTGCACCCACGCCCTAGATGAGCTCATCTTCCGCGAGAGTTATGATATATCTCCGAAGTTCTGGAAATGTGACATTGCTGGAATATCGAAAAGTCTTTTTGTTCAGATTATCTCTGAGGTCTCGAATAAATGCTTTTTCAAATATCTAAAGAAATGTATTATCTCTATGCTTTCATATTATCTAAATGTGTTCATATCATGGGACATACACCAACATAAGCAACACACATCACATTTATAAGGACAACACGAAACAACTACATGAATATGGAAAAAAAGAAGGATTTCAAAGGGCACCGAAAGTTGTTGGTTGCTGTTGTTGAGTAGATGAACACGAAGAAGTCAATACCTCATGTAATTGCTGTTGCAAATTTTTATGTTGTTCACAAATTAACTTGTACAATTGTTGATCATCCATTGGAGTTTATGAATATTTTATCAAAAATTCATTAATTTTTTCATTAGAGTTATTGATTAATTCGTTTATACGTTCACTCTTAAAAAGAAAAAAAAGACGATTAAAGTAAATAACTAGCTAAAATATAAAGAATAATTCATAATAAAAATAAGGAGAAAAATTCTGAAGTTTTTATAAATTAAAAATGAAATGGGAACCGTTAAGACAAGTACAAATATCGAAATTTAATTTATTTTGATAAATATTTATTATTTTAAACATCTTGTTGACTCATTGTATCAATATCTATGATTTTAGAATAAAAAGTTGTGGAATTTTCTCATGATTCTGGTCTTAGTCTCATTCACGATTCCGAGAGAAATATCTTGCAAAGATTCACATGAAATTTGGATAGATTTTGAAATCCTTGTTGTTTGATACATTCAATCAATAAAATATCATATTTTATTGTCTTTTTCTCCGAATTTTATTTTGGTTGATATTATATTTAAATTCATTCACTCGAATACAATTCAATATCTATCTACACTCTTAGATCTCAATCTCAGGGACAAGACTGATCTCGAATAACTATGACTTTAACTCATTAATTGTTTTAAAAATAATTATTTATTTATTTTAAAAATCTAT